TACCGACTTTCCTGGAAAAGGTCCCATTGACATTGACATATAATGCAGTTTGAAACTGGATGATATGGTCAATGTAGATTCATATAATGCAGTTCAATTCAATGCATTATATGGACAGTATGCACCAGCACCTTCCTAATGAGAGTACTGTAATACATGCTATCTGGGGCTGCTCTTAACAATGACATAGAAATTTCAGTTAATTCACCATATAGCAACAAGACTGCTGACTTGAACATACGGAAGCCATATAACACTGGTTTTAAAGAAAGTGCCCTGGCTGCCAATACACTTTCAGTCTGAATTGAAGGCCATACATTACATGGGGAATGGCCATTTCTCCTCCCCATTCTATTCCATGTTGAACTTTCACAAGATAAAACAATAAATTGTTATACTGTGTGTTTATTGGCTTAATGAAATAGTTTAGATTTGCCTGTGGTAGTCAGATGCAAGTATTGTCCACAGCCTTATCAGATGCAGTAGTTTAAATACTCATCTGTGAGCAGATCATGAAATCGCTTTTAAACAAAAAGATAAACAGTACAGCAGCCAACATAAAGTACTAATCTTACACTGAGGGACTGAATGGCACAGTAGACTCCTTCTTTGTCAATTTGACTTGGATTTGAAGCTTGGATGCCAGCTTAGTTCCAGCTCAAAAAGCCATTCACTTCAAAGGCACCTAAATTGTCCCAAGGAGCTAATTCTGGCAGTCAGTTGTTATTGTCTGGCAAGTCATCCTAATAGCAAAAGCCGTCTGCTCTCAAATCAGTGTTTATTTCAGTGGTCAGCAATGACCAGTTCTTGTTTTATTCTGATAAGAGACAGGAACAGAGGTATACTGGGAAGAAAAACTGACAGCTGTTTTTGTGTGCATATTTTGATTTCCTAATATATTAATTATGATGTGATGTCACCTCATTCCCTTTCTTATTCCCAATACAGCTCTCATACAGAGCATCTCACTGCTCCATTATTTATGAAGTGTAAGCTGTAGAAGGTTGAGTGTGTTTCTGGATCTGTTATACTTTTGGAATCCTAAACAAAATTCATTATCATGAATACTTCTCTATTTCTTTTAAGAATTCACTACAAGTATGTTCTGAAGAATTAGAAGCAAAAATGATCTTGGCTAAGGCTTCCACAGCCTTCTATACATATCAACTGACATTACATCTGACTGTGCTGCCATTCTCCACATAATTTAAAGTATTTTATTTCAAAAACAATAATGCAAAATTAAAAAACAAGATATTGTTGTCTGAACATTTCCTCCTGCTGAGATTTGTTGTTGATGTATTCAGCATATATTATTATGATTATTATTATCATCATCATTAACATCATCTTGTCCTTTTCCTGCCTTTTTTCCTGTTCAGGAATCAAAGCAGATTGCAGCAATTAAAACAAAGATAGTTAAACATTCACAGCATATAAAAGTTAAGAAGTAATTAAAACAGAAAGGAGGAGACCATGAAAATGAACAAAATCTGGCTACCAGTATTAAAAAACTCTAAAATTACAATAGCAAAACAGCAGAGAGGAAACAACCAGGCACATCTTAACACCTCTCAACAAAACATTCCCCCAGGCTCAGCCAGGCCTTCAAATGCTTATGAAGTTGGTCAGTTGAAACATTCCCACCCAGCTCCAGCAGAGAAGATCTCTTTGCCCCACTCCAGTCATTCCACAGATATATAAACCCATTTTCCTAATTCCAACAGACCTCACTACCTCTGAGGATGCTTGCCATAGATGCAGGCGAAACGTCAGGAAAAATGCCTCTAGAACATGGCCATATAGCCCGAAAAAACCCACAAGAACCTATTAATTAAAACCATCATAAATTTGAAATTAGTTAAAATAAATTTAAAAAAACAACAAAAACAACAACAACAAATAAAAATTCAACAGATTATACAAGGCCTGTTAATCCATTTTCACAGAGGAGTAAAAAGAAGGTTGCCAGTAGCTTAAATTTTAAATTAAACTAGAAAGAACGTTTTCTGCTACTGGATTGCGCACTCTCCAAATGGGAAGTTTAACCTTACAACTCTGTGTTTTTATGAGTTCCCCGTAAATGTCCTGCTCCTATTTTATCTCATTACAGTCTTTTAATTGTTTTATCCTGTATATGCGGCCCGCCCACTGTTATCGTTACTGTGATTGTCTTTATTAGAATGTTATTTTATGATAGCCTTTCCCCCCCCCCCCTTCTTTCTCTTATGTAATTCTGATGATGTTGTAGTTTTTTGTTGTTTATGTTCTGATTTTATTGCTGTATTATGTTATCCGGGCTTGGCCCCATGTAAGCCGCTCCGAGTCCCCATCAGGGAGATGGTGGCGGGGTATAAATAAAGTTTATTATATTAAATAATCTGCCATTAGATGTTTCCCTCAAACTTTTTTTCCCGTGCCTAGAAGAGCAATATGGGATTCCCAATTTGACTGGGCAAGTTATGCCAGGGCTGGGAAACTTGTGACCTTCCAAATATAAGACAGTTCCCATCATATCTAAGAATGAAGCAGGAATTGGGCAAAGGCATATTCCTAGGTGATGCAAAGGAGAATAGGATACTGGCTGCCCTCTCCATTGCTCAGACAACAAATGCCTTTTTGGATAAGTTCTTAGCTCAAATAGGAACAAACAGTAGCAGATCTATTACTTGCAAAAATAAGATGCTTTTGCCAAAAGACATCAGAATATGGAACAGAGAAGAACAGAAAGTTTAAGATCATTAACGGGATTTGTCCATTCAACCTGGTTCCGAAGACAATGTGTATATAACTGCTCAGTCTACTTTTTCCACCAGTCTATTAGATTCAGGTTTTGGGGTTTTCTTTCCATTGTCCCACGTACTATTATACTGATGTACAATATAATCTTACACTCTTTAAAAATTGTAAAGACATTAAAAAAAACAACCATCAGGGTGGGAGTGATGTAAATGTTTGACCCAGGGCCCTTCCAGACAGGCCCAAAACGTGGGATCTGTCTCACTGTTACTTTAAGTGTCCAAGCAAGGTAATAGTAAATTAATGTGGAGAAAACAGGATTTTCCCAGTTTACTCAGCATTAATTAAACACCTGAAAAGATCTGGGCCAGGTGTGGGCCCTGTTGGAATTGACTCTGGGACTGCTTCTGCAGTCCTGGGGGTCAATCCCCACATCCATTCCAGTTCTTCAGACTCCTGGAGCCCAAAGGAGTGGGAGGGTGCCCACCCACAGCCTCCCATTTCCCCAAAAAGAACTTACCAGAGGGGCCTGCTGGCAGCACAGGTTCCTCTATAGAGTTCTCCTGACTCTTGAAAATAATGCATCAGGAGTTGAAGGGGGGTGTACCTCCCCCCTCCCCAACACATCATTTTCAAGCATCAGGAGGACTCTTTGGAGGGGCATGTGCTGCCGGCAGCCCCCTCCAGTAAGTTGGGGGGTGAAATGGGTGACTGGGGCATGGCATCTAAGGAAAGCCCAGGGTTGTGGGAGGGTGTGGGTACAGAAACCCAGGAGGAAGCGGGTTATTTTAACCTGCTTCCTTCCATGTTTCTGCCCTGTGTAGAAGGGCACACAGATAGCCCTTAAATAATAAACATTAGAACAGAGGAGAAAGCCAGGAATTCTAATTGAACTACTCCTAGGTTCATGGAATTATTGCAAATGAAAGAGCCATAGAAGGTTGATCATCCCAAAGCCTTCCTTGATATTTCCAGATAAGTGAATCCATGTTTTACAATGCAATTAAAAAAATAGAAGTAACAATTTTGGCTGTCTTAATTAAATATAAGATTTAGCTAAAATATATTGATTAATGAATAAATGAAATATATATACAAATCAAGAACTGAAAAACAGTGAACCTGGTGGTATGTAAGAACCTATTTATTTATTTGATAACAATAAAGCAATTGAATCAATGAATCAATGAATTATATGAATGAAAGATAACCAACTTACATACTGCAAGCTGTGTTCAGGCTTTTTATTACACTGACTTTTAAACATTACTTCAGTTGATTTTAAATTTCCCTCAATCCACAATGCACGTTTTCAGATGATTATAATGAACCACATGTTATTTATGCATTTAGAAAGAAATTCGTATAATACATAAGTTCTAAGTGTAAAACAGTAGTATGACATGTAGAATATATTGTTGCATAGATCATAGAATCTGTTCAGGAAATCTGTGAGGAAAAGAAGAATCATATCACTATTCTGTATTTATAAACCTGCACTGAACACCGAGTGACCAACAAGCATGAAATAATATTTGAATATAAAGAAATACTGGTTGGATGATACTTTCTTTTCCATCTTTCCCTCCATGTCAGAAGTAAGATGACACCTTCTCACCACTTTGATAGGATTACCTGCCAGAGCAGATTAATTTTTATAGACAGAATATTTGATGTTATGGCGTAAAACAGGCGGTGAAGTTGAATCAATTATTACTGAGGAACATGGGTGTCCAAAGTTTTGGTGGATGGCAATACTAGTTATACAATTCAAGTTCTTTCCATGATGAAGACATGTCAGTAGTAAGGAACCGGGTCAGGACAATGACCAAAATTATAGTGTGAGGCCAGGCCTGGACTTGCTTTGTGTGTCTTCTGTGTAACTATGACGATTCACTTATTGTAACCTCTAGCTGTGGTTCTTCAATGTCCTCCCGTTGGGTATTTTTGGATTGTTCATTCATTGATAACAATTTTATCTAAGTTATTTTTCAGCAAGGTGATCTACATGTGAATAACTGCTTGAATGGATGTATATATGAAATAACCAATCTGTCTTCCTAAGTGTTGCAAGGACACAATTTTATTTTTTCTGCATTGAAATCTGTATGTATTTGCCCCATTTAAATAGCATACTCAGATGTGGATATTAAGTTGCAAAGGTGAAAAGCTACAACAACATTATCCAACTAGACCCAGGGAGAAATGATTTTCAGTCCAGACTGTAATCGCTCATTTCTAATTTTCTCTGTTTTCTCCAGGACTTCTTAACAAGGCTTCCTTCTATTCCCCTGTTCAGCAAGTTTGGTCAAGCCTACTCCAGATCAGGACAAGTAGTGTAAATAATATTTCTCTACCAATCCGCTGTATGAAATCTTACTTGAGAGGAATCAAGGTATATGCATTACAAAAAATATATATTTTAAAGCAAACGTGTGACTACCATGCTGTACTTGAAAGATCACCACATTCTACTTATGACTCCCTCAGTATAAACCCAGTTTTGGAATATTAAATCCGGGATTCTGAAGCAATAATCAAATTGGACTATAACGTGAAGTGCTTTTGTGAACTAAGTCTGAAACCATCCTCAAGAGACTGATCTCAATCTTTCCTTTCAATATTCAGTTTCTAATGTTATTATTGTTTGTCAGTTTTCTTCACTTGACAAGTCTTGAAAGTAAAATCATTTGTGGAATAAGACCAACAGGAAGAATTTGGTAAATTAAAGTAACAATAATAATTGTTTGACAGTTGTTTCTGAAGTGTAGCTGTTTTCTTTAGTTGAAAAGTGAAACATAAAAATTAAATAAATGAAAAATGTGTGCTCTTTAATGCCATTATGTCATTTTCACATGATAAAGGGAATTGCCCTGTTTCAGAGTGTTCAGAACACATGTCAGCAAGTGCCCAAGGAAGCAGGTTGTTGGTGTATAGGAAGTGTTGAGTAGTCAGTCCAGTCTAGGTCAGTCATGGGTTATCCAATCAAAGTTAAGGGGGAAGTACAAGAGTGTTCGATAGCCACTCTTGTACTTCCCCCATAGCAACAGGTCAGAAATGTAGCAGAAAATCCAAATTCTAGTCAGTTCAAGTTTAAGAAAAAATTAGAACACAAGAGAGTACTGTCACGCACCCAGATGAAACAGTTTTCAGCATTAACACAGATATTTATGATGACTTTTCAAGGCCTAAGTACTGCCTAATTAGAGGTGCCTAAGTACTGGTGCCTAAGTACTGCCTAATTAGATCAGCATTTATTACTTAAATGTCACTGACCTTGGCATTTTTCCCTCCATCAATCAGCAAAGGATGGGGGCATGTCATCTTCAGCATCTGCAGCCTCTGCCCACTCGCACTGTTTACATCAGACTCAGAGAGTGTTCCACTATCCCACAATGCAGAAAAAAAATGTGTCTTTGACCCAGGTTAAACCAGATAATGTGGGATTTTATATAACTGTGTGGAAGGGGCATTGATCACTGAAATAGTGAATTAACCCCCTTTCACTGAAATACTGAACCCTCTACACTGACCAAAAACACAGGCCTGATCTCTGGATTGGGCACACATGGTGACCCAATAAGGACCCATCAAGCCACATCAAAGGCAGCAGGGAGCACCCATTGTCCAGCCGCGCTGAACATTCAAAGTTGATGGGCAGGGACTCTAACAGGGAATCCCTCCTCCCAGCCTCCTTAGTGATGCTTGAGGCCTGGCAGCCATGTTGTGGCTATCCCCAGCCACAACGCAGGAAGGGAAGAAAGGAGAAGAAGCCATTCCATGTTCCAAGGTTGCCTGATCCTGGAGAATGCAGAATGAGTGTCAAGACTGATGCGACTGGTTCTGCTTAACTTGGAGGAGAACACAAATCCTGCTTCCTGTGATATTTAGCCACTACAGAGCAGATCCTTCTGCACACTGACCTAAGTGGCTGGTGTAGATGTACCTGCTGTTTCTGTAAGGTCAGTCCTCTATATCCACAGGTTTTGTATCAATTGGTTTAGTCATTCAGAGCATAAAAATATTTTTTTTAAATCCCCAAAACAACTCTTCATTTTTGCCATTTTACTATGCCACTGTATATAATGAGGGTTGAACATTCATGGATTTTGGTGTCCACAGAGGATCCTGGAACCAAACCCCAGTGATTCTCATGGTCATTGATGCCCTTTAACTCTTAAGAAAAATAACAAAAAAACCATATATTTCAAGGACATAAAAACACACCCAACCTCATCGTACTATAGCCATAGTTTACAAAAAATATTCTAGTAAGGATCCAAGAAATCTCTGTTTAGAAAGAAGCAGCAACCCCTTCTGAGAAATAGGCCCCATTAGCAGGGATGCAGAGGTAACAGAAACTGGCTATATACAGCAAAAACAAAGAAGTTATACCACAGGAGCACATGCTTCTTTATACCAGCCTAGAAACTCCAGAATTAATATTCTGCAAGGTATTGTTAGAATAAACATACATTACAGCCCATTATAACTTGCTTATGAGTTGAAATGTGTCTAGAAGAGAGTAACCAAAATGATAAAAGCTCTGGTGCTCCAGAAACTAAAACATGGAACAATGGATTCAAACTACAGGAAAAGAGATTCCTCTTAAACATAAGGTAAGAGCTGTTTGACAGTGGAATACGGTGCCTTGGTGTGTGATGAAGTCTCCTTCTCTGAAGTTTTTAAATCAGAGGCTAAATTGTTATCTATTAGAAATACTATGGTTGTATATTCCTGCATGGCAGGGAGAGGAAAAGGATGGCTATTGTGATCTCTTCCAACTCTTTGATGTTATGCTTGCATCTGTTTAATTTCATTCAGCATGATAGCCTTGTCATAGGATATAATCATACCATCCATCCAAATTACATGATCCTCAGCTCCCACAGATTCATTTTCCTCTCTCCTGTCCACAGCCTAGAAATTTTGGTACCTACAACATCTGTCTATCCATCTCCTGATATCCATCTCCCCATTCCTCCCATCCTTTCATAAGAACTTAAAGACCTGATGGTTTCAACAAGACTTCGAGAATGACCAGTTCTAGCCCAGCCCCAAACATTGTTGAATATGGCCTTATACTTCCTACCTATTACCCCGGTCATCCCTCTAATAGGCCCTGGAAATGAGCAGCCACAGACCTGTACCTGCTATTACTGTTAGCTCATTATAGCACTGTACTTAATTCCTGGTCCCCTCATATTTTGAGTTTGCACTAGCCTCAGCCCAGCCTTTTAATTGCTCTGAACAGGCAGGTTTGTTTGTAATATATGTGTTATTGTGATAATTTTATGGTTATGTTGTTTTGTTTATTGTATGTTAAGCTGTTTACTCTGTATCTTTGGGTGATGTTGCTTGAAAAAACCCCTGAGTCCCCCTCGGGGAGATAGAGTGTTATATAAATAAAGATTTATTATTATTATATACTCAACAGGAGATTTGGGGAGATGTAGTGAAAAAACCTCTGATCCTAACTTTTTAAATCTTTGCCCTTTCTATTGTTGATATAAAGACACACAGATTATGTCACTCATTTTCTGTCATTGCAAACAAATTTCTGCTCCACTGGTCTACTTAGATTTTTTTTGTTCATAGAACCTGGCCGATGAGCTCTCACAGAAGTTGTCTGTACAATAGCTAAATGCTACAGTAGACTCAACCATATTATTTTACATATTGTTTCCTAACTTCTGATTTGACACATGAAGAAAGAAAAGCCAAGCCCTCAGGGCCATTCGCAACACATACATCATTTTCTAAATGGCAGCAATACAAATGAAAAATGTCATGATTCTAAAAAGCATGTTTGGATGTCTCTTTGTACTTTTGAGTAGAGTGAGTGATCAAATTTAAACTTTGGAAAGTTTTGTATTTATGTCCTGCAAGAGGAAATGAATGTCCTTTAATTCTAGTAAGTGAGGAATGGCAACCTGCAGCAAAGTCCCTCCTCTTACAATTTAATTTCGCCAAATAAATCAAAGTGCTTTTGTTCAGGGGGCTGAACAGGAGACACTCACACAAAAGGTGTTGATGAATAAGGGGTTCCATAGTAATTTCTAGATGTGAGGGCTATCTCTTTGATTGCACTAGCTTCAAGGTAGCTCATCTGTTCATGATAATTCACCCTGAGTTGCTACTTACCTTTCTACCACATTTTCCCATCAGTCCGATTAGAACCGGCAGTGCCTTTATCAGATTAATCTTTCTTTCTTGGTATCTTTTAAATATCTCTGACCCCAGGATAAACATAACCTATGCCAAGCAGGCCATTGCAGAAGCTGCTGGAGTTTTCAGTTGCTGATGATACTCTGCATATATTAAGGTTAAAAAGAGGACTTCCAATTCACTCTAATCTACTCACTCATCTATTGTGTAGCGTTCATTCAATCTCTTTTCTTCCTCCCAAACAGTCCAATTTTAATAACCCTTTCCACTGGAAAAAAATTACATCCCTGTTTATTTTTATGGGACAGACTTATTTGCTTTGTTTCCATTTTGCAGTAATGCAATTTTGTAGGAAATATATTTTGTACTTACAAGCAATGGATATGGGTATTGTTTATTTCAGAAAGGAATATTCATGCCTATCTCCAAAATATTTTTCCAGTTGCTACAGACGAAAAAAAAACTATAGGCTGGTATTAGGTAGCTAGGAAAGATAATTACTGAAAAACAATGCCACTCCTTTCATTAGAGAGAAGTGTTAGTATGGGTTAAACATCACCAATCCGGAAATCTTAAATAAAAAATGCTCCAAAATCCCAAACTGTTCACAAGGGTGTCTAAGAAAGTGACACTTTTGTTTTCTGATGATTCAGTCTACTTAAACTTTGCTTTTAACACAAAATTATTAATGACTATTTCTTATATTTAAATAAGGTCTCCCTGTCCCTAATGAAGCAAAGTTGAATGTCATTTTGGTCTTTCAGATAATAGCCAACCAAAATAAAGTAATAAGTAAATACTTTTGTGAGGTGAAGGAGAACCACGCCAACTTTTTAAAGAGTGCTGGATTTTATCAATATAATAAAGAAAGAACTCTATAGAGATGCAATTTTATTTCCTCTCCTCTGTCAGGGAAATCTCTCTTCAGGCTTACCCCCCATGTAATACCACATAAGAATCTCAGAAACAGATGGAAACTGTTTTACCCGGAAACTTATCTTAGTGTGGTATAGAAAGCCAGATGGCCCAGCTTTCCAAATAAAATCTTTCAGAGTCTTTAAAGTAAGTAAAGATTTTATTAATATTGATGGTTGGACATAGCGTAATACACAAGGAAGATTAATTACAAACCCTAATTAAATGTAACAGAGTGGAAGAAACAGAGCACCGTTTGGCACCGAGCACTTTCTCTGTTCGTGCTCAAGCCAGGCAGCTGTATTGTGAGAAAAGTCACAGCGCAGCAGGCACTAGAAACCAGGGGTGGGTCCTACAAAGTCACCAGGAGAATTCTAAGCACATTGATGAATTCATTTATATCTGCTCAGACTCTAAAAACATACCTACAAAAATGTGAAGAACTTTACAAATAATAATAAATACTACATTGGCCATTCAAGTAAGTACACACTGCTGTTCTATACATTGTGGCCAACAATTTACATTGGTGACCTCATACCTCGAAGCAGTGAATCAAACTGATTGGCTGTCCCAACCCAAACCCAATACAGTGGTAGGTGAGAATATCGTTAAGTACATTTTATTATAAGAACTTCACAAAATATGCAAAGCTCTTCTTAAGTTCAGTAAGAAAGGGGGATTTTTTTGTCAATGATACTGGCAGATTCACTAAGCTTTAAATACTTT